CTCTTGTACCTGTAAGTCCCAACTCTCCAGCGACCAGTATATATTCAAAGAAAAGGGCCGAGGAACCTACATGTTGGGTTCCCTGTGCTTGAATGTCTGCAGCTGTGGGGCATTGCTTGCTGGGCGTGTTCCTGGCGGGAAAGTTCACGAAAGAAACAATCACACCCTTTGCAAACGAACCTGTACTCAGTGCGACAAGAGCCTGTCGCGCGAAGGGCTCTCCAGCAGGTGTCCCCCACATCTGGAAAGCCGCTTGTGTGGCAAGGCGTGGCGTCACACAAGAGGTAATATGCTCACTACCCGAAAACATTCTTGAGATAAGCATTTTGATTCATAGAGGTTGTGGAATTTTGATATTTGCTTTCTGCAGGAAGCTACTGCAATATTCATTTCATATTGGCAACCCTTTCTATAGGGCAAACCTCCCATCATCGTCAATTGAACCAAACTCTTGGGTTATGAACTGGCCCTGCGTGCAGGGTTGAATTCGCGCGATCCGGACATCGCCGAGGATTCCATCCATGGCTGGCCAAGCAGCAGCTGCAGAAGTTTGTGGGTGGCTGGGAGAATCTGCACGGGGCTACGTTTTTTTCTCGGTCCGTGAGTCCACTAGGAGCAAGGACGCTACTAGGGGCTCCTGGCCTTACTACTAGGAGCAAGGACGCTACTAGGGGCTCCTGGCCTTACTACTAGGAGCAAGCACGCTACTAAGGGCTCCTGCCCTTACTACTAGGAGCAAGGACGCTACTAGGGGCTCCTGGCCTTGCCATAGATTGGCATGGGTTCGCCCAGTTCAAGAGGTTTGTTTTGGCTCTGCGAAAGAAAAGCACAAAGGTGCCAGGGGCTTCCCGCCTGCAGGTTTGAACGAAAATGCTTTTCATTCCTCCACATCCCAAGCTGGGCTCAGCGGATCATTTTTTTCCGATTGGCAATGCCTTGTTGTGTCCGGGGCCTTTTCTGTGGAGGTCAGTTTCTTTGCCTCAATCGCCTTGGTGCATGGTGTGTCTGGGGCCCTTGCTCGCCAAGGTCTGCCGCAGTGCTCGAGCACCCAAAGCCTTCAGAGACGACGACCTCTGTGCAATTTCAACAGGAATCTGGAAAGCCGCTTGTGTGGCAAGAAGTGGCATCACACAAGAGGTAATATGCTCACTACCCGAAAACATTTTTGAGATAAGCCTTTTGATTCAACGAGGTTGTGGAATTTGAAATTTGCTGTCTTCAGGAAGCTACCACTATTCATTTAAGCATATTGGCAACCTTTTCTATATAGGCTAAACCTCCCATCATGGTCAAATAAACCAAACTCTTGGGTTATGAACTGGCCCTGTCCGGTCTGAATTCGCGCGATCCTGACGTCGCCGAGGATTCCATCCACAGCTGGCCAAGCAGCAGCTGCAGAAGTTTGTGGGTGGCTGGGAGAATCTGCACGGGGCAGCATTTTTTCTCGGTCCGTGAGTCCTATGGGTTCGGCAGGGTTTCCACCGCAATGTAATCCAAAGCAGACAGCGGCGGGTCTTTTTTTCATAAGCCCGCTTCAATTATAGGAGGAGAGTGCTAGAAGTTTTCGAGGCCATCCCTCCTCATGATGGGAGTAACATGGGGACGTACTGTTGCAGAGATGCCAGCGCAGGCCGCCATGCCCGCTTTAACTTTTGTTTCTGCGACTCCCGAATAGACTGTGTGCCTTTGTGCTCCTCGCGATGTTTGCCTTAAAGATTGTTTGCTTTGCTTTCATTTGCATTCGTGCAAGTTAGATGTGAATCCCAGGATTGCGACCGGGTTTTCTCTACAACGTTGATTGGGCTCCCATTTTCACTCAATGCTAGCCGGACCGCGCAAGACACCCTCAGACCGTACAACACCAAATACTCTTCCTCGTACCAATATCATTATCCAACGTATATGCACCCATCTATCCATCGGTAAGGGCATTCGCTAACCTATTGATCCATCCATCCATCCATGCGTCTAACTTTCTGTTCAGTCAGTCTGTCTGTCTGTTTTTCTGTCTGTGCGCCGGTCTGTCTGTTTGGTTGTCTGTCTGTCTTTCTGTCTGTCTGTCTGTCGGTCGGTTGGTCGGGTCTGTCTGTCTCTGTCTGTCTGTTCCCTGTCTATCTAATTAGTATGTTTCTATCTCTGTCCTGGATCGATCTCCCTCAGGTTTTGCGATGAGGTTGGGCACTTGACTCCAGACTGCCCAGCTTTGCACAGTTTCTTCCTTGAAGATGCTGCACCTTCATGGTCGAGCCTGAAGCGAATGATGGGCAGTGGCATGGGCGCTGGCAGTGCTGGCGGCATCAAAGTTCCGAGAGAGTGGCTTGAGGACATTGATGTGCCCCCAGATGGGAATTGCTTGTTCAGCGCTATGTCTGTGGCTTTCAAACTCGCGCGCAATGAGCGGGTTGGGGTGCAAGACCCAAAGATGCAAACCCACTGGGGCTTGCGAAATCGGCAAGAGCAAGTTGCATGGGTGAAGAAACAACTTGGTCAAAACTCGTCTTTCCCTCCTGACGATGCTGATGCCCCCTCCCTCTCCGCGGTGATCACAGCTTCCTCTGGACTCCAGCCATCCCAGTATTGTTTCTTGGCGCTGCATTTTTTCTCCCGGAATGGAAAATATTCTGCACTACACATATAAGTGCCCACTGTTTTTCCCGCACTGGTGGAAGTGTGCTAGCGAATAGCGAGTGGGGCGCTAGAGTTTGTGCTTCGGTCCGTGGTTGCTTGAGGGAAGTTGTATTGACTTGGACCTGTCATGGGTTAAATGTTATTGCAGCGACGTGATGCGAAGATCAGCCCTTTCCTGATTGAGTTTTCATTCTATAATTGCCATGCTGGGACCTTATGAACATCCTCCCAAGCCTTGACTTTAGGATGTACAGGAGCCCAGCTCACAGTCATGTGGTCTGCGCGGATGAACCTCCATGGTCTTGGTAGTTTGCGATGAAAACCACCGGGGCATCCAAAAACATGGAAAACAAAGCTTGGGCCTGCCAAGGTGAGATCATGGCGACATTTGGTTCTCACAGAAGGCAGTGGGGTGGTTTCTTTGAGATTGCCGTCATGTCGCAGAGGTGGCGGTACAGGACGCACATCCTGCGAGAAGAGGCCCAGGAGTTGCAATATGTTTGCTCCATTGGCCGAGAGCACCGAAAAGAAATTTCGGTGGTGTGGACGGGGAGCCACTACAGAGCTCTTCGCATCCTCAAACAGGATGACTTTCTGAAGCTGTGTGGTGTGAAGTGAAAAGGGAGTTCTCTTGTCTTGTGCCGTTTTTTCCCGTTCTTTGGCGGGGTGCTCAGTGGATCCACCCCACCCCCTTTAGTCCTCACCCCCAGTACTTTTCTCTAGCCTAGAGCCGTGCTGCGAATCGGTCATTCGGCTCCCCCACGTATCATGGTGGGCGGCTAGCTCAAGGAGCTAGCTGGAGTTGTCTAGTTGTCTCATTGCAAGAATTGTTCAAAAGAAACAGCCGGACACAAGACCTGAATAGCAGAGTTAAGCCCCAAAGTTCTCCATGTCCCAAGGTAAATCTCGTGGTAAATCATGGTAAATATTTTAATGTGAATATGCAGAGAGAATTTCTAGACAGAATCTTGTTACCGTTCGAGGCAACAACGAGTGTGCAAACCTGGCGACAGGCCACGTTCGAGAGTTTCACATTCCGGAATTAGCGTTGAACAGCCTCGGCAACAACAGCAGCAGCAGTTTATATACATCTTTACATCTCTATCTCCATGATTTTTATCATACCTGAGCGCTAGCACTTGCTGAGTCAAAAGTGTGCACTCCGTCAGTTAAACCTTGCAGCGCTGATGTTTCACTTGTGAACGCTGATGAGCCATACGAAAACACGTTCCTCGATTTGCAGAGCCTTCCTATGCCCTATGCCGCTATGCCTGCTCTTTTGCCACACCCAGCTCTATTCCTGCAGTCGCATCATGGTGGGGACTGGCAGTCACACCATCGTCTGGGTTTGCTCCTTCCTTCAACTTCGGCCAGACGAGCAAAATGACTCATGTCTATGGCATCAAATGGGGTGCTTGCTCGCGGACATCACCTACCCAGTGTTCGCCCCGTTGTCACTTCCCTTCGGAAGGCAGAGCAAGAAACATATTTTAAACAAAGTGTTTCGCACTGATGCAAAGTGGGGAACTGCATGCAACTTTCAGTCTTCGACGCGCTTCAAATACTCGTCCTGACTGCCAAATGTACCAAATCATGTTGATATTTCAAAGCGCAACCACCAAGAACCACAGCAATGTCATGTGGCCTATCACACAAATGCTCCGATTTTTCTTCCAAGCAGTTGCTTTTCATCCTGCTCCAGCTGATATCACAAATTTTCAGAAGCAACATGACATGCAATTGCCCACAACAAATCATTTATATACAGTAATGCAATCTCCTTGTCGCGTGTTGCATTGTGCTATGTAAATTTGAATTCGAATAATGTGCCTTTGTCTCACAGGGGGACTTCGCCGGTACAGGGGACCAGATCACTGGGGTTGTCTCGATACATTCTCTTCGCCACTCACCCAAAGCCAAGGGGATCCAAGAAACGCCCCGGGAGTCGCCGCGGTTTCAGAGGTACGCCCCTTTGACCTGCGCCCGAACCGCACCACCGTACTACTTGCAAATCGCACGGTTCACAAGCAGTAACAACCTAACAACCTAGCACTTCACTAATCAGCACCACATCACCAGCCATTAGGATTGGGCTGCTGGATTTCAGGTTTGCGTGTGAACACAGCAACTGACAAAATTAATTCCTCAAGACGATCTCTCAGAGGATTCAGAGGTAAGATAGTAGGAAAAGCGACCGGACCCACATGCCGCAGCTCGGATCCACATTTCGGGTGACACCGGTTGGTTCGGCACGGCACTTTGAGGGTTGATGCGTTGGCTTTGTTTGAGGAGCACTGCACTCCACAGAGTCCCAGAACACTCGCTTGTCACTAAATTATCACACAGTAACCTTTCCATACCTGTGCAATAAGGATGCTGCCTTTCTCCGAACGGTCGACGCTTGCCGAGCAAAGCTGCGCCAGCTCCGAGCAAGCTTCCTGGCAGGGTGTCATTGAAGGGTTTGGCAAAACCAGGGACCCCAATTCTTGAAATCAGATGAAACTAGGTAGACAGGTAGACTCTTTGTGACGGTGGTACCATTTGGTTTGAAGGGTGCACATGCCTGGAATGACTCGCTTTCGTTCTGGCAATCAATCTTGCTTGCCACTGGAATGGCAGGAGGGAGATACCATGATACGCAGGAGTTTATGTTTAATAGCTGTTGGCTCTGTCAGAAAGAAAGGCATGGCCCAAGTAGTAGCTGATCCAAACGGTCGGTTAACCCAGAAGGCAGGGGCACGGTAGATGACCATTGCCCATTTGTGCATCCCATTCCAGATGTCGTTTTGAAAGGATAATCCTGTTCCAGGGTTGTCCACGGAAGTTTGCCTGTGGCAAGCTTGGGCAGCACACCTGCTTGCACTGGGCCAAGGTCAGTCTGAGGTGCTTGAGATTTGGCGCAGCTTCAATGAGGACGAAAAGATTGGTTCCTCTGACAGGGATACAAAAGCTATGATTGCTTTGGTCAATATGATTCGCGAGTGTGATTTGCTTCTGAGTTTGAATGGACAAGATTTGCCCAGATGTTTTATTTTGAGTGATTGTTCAGCACCATCACCCTTCTTTGCTACCCATACCTTCCAAGGATGCTTCCAGAGTGCTTCATTAAGACTTACAGAGAGGCAGCCTTCCCAGAGGCAGGTTATCACGAAGGCATGTCAGATGAAGAGGTCTACGAGCGCTTTTGGCAGATGCGGACAGGTGTTCGTAGTGTATCACAACTCCCACATGTTTACATGGATGGCCCAGCCCTGATGGCCGTGTTGGCGAAATGGAGGCCTCCTCATGCCAGTGTTCTTTGCTTGACTTGCCCTCAGAAAAAGATCGGTGAAGTCTACAAGATGGGTTATCATGTTCAAATGACCGAGCAGAAATTCCCGTCCCATCTCATCACGCTGGTTCACACCGTTCCAGATGCCGCAGGCAGGTAAGGGCTAAAGGCTTTGTAGACTGCAAAGCAGAATCCCACAAAGAAAAACATGTTCATAGCAGTTGACGCACCATCTCGCTCTGAAGGGAAGCTTGTGTGACGTTTTTTTTTTGCGCAGGGAAGCTCGTGATCCACCGCGGACTGGACGAAGAGCCAAGAGTTTATGAAGGCCCTTTTGAAGGAAGTCCGATGGCCAGGTTCATTGTCCAAGAAGCATTGCCTTTCTTTGGCGTGCTCCATGAGGCCAACCGCATACACTACTCCTTAAGGGCCACCGGCTGTGGTTTGTTCACCATTTGGCTGGGACATGGTGACATCAGTGAAGAGATCAAGACCTTTGCAAAGGATTTGCAAGAGCTCCCTCGCAAGACCGATATCCCTTGCTGTTTCTTAAACTCCGAGGCCCTCTCGAAAGAGCCCTTAGGCCGCTTTTTCCATGACCTTGAGCTGGAAGTAGAACCAGTGGCCATGCTCTTTCTAGGTGACTTTGCTTCAAGTCCCCACAAAGTAGACCACCTCAAGCGTTTCATGTGGTCTTTGAAGTCGACGGATCAACCTGCTGACCTTCTGGCGTTCATTGAAGCTGCTCGGAGGGGTGAGATTGAAGGTGAGGAGATCCAGGCTGCGAAGCCCCTGTTGAAAGCAACATATTTGGCTCCTCCAGATCTTCATTCCAGTTGCAGATGACGAGCCCATCACGAGCCCAAAGGGCCTCACATTTCGGCCAATGATCTCGGTCTCCCATGCCCAAAGGGCTGAAAAAGGAGGATCCGGGTGACTCCATGCGCAACTGCACACCTGGAAAATCTGGAGGCGGTGGTGAGCCAGGTTCGGCAATATTGTAGTCATTCAGAGCTTGTTCATACTTCGTACATCTTCGTACGTCATGATCCGTAGAAGAGCTTCGTTGTCATGATCCGGCAGCTTCGTACTGCTGTTGCTTGCTCAGATGGGCCGCTGCTCCATTGCACGCCAAAAGAACGCGAGATGCTTGAGCAGCTCGCTGACACACCAGGACAGCCGGGCACGCGTTGCGTGCCCAAACACTGCGTGGGCGTGCGTAGGCTTGCAGACTGCCTAGGTTTTTCACGATATTTTTGTATATTTTGGCATGCTTTAAACACACACTTCATGTCGCGAGGATGCTTCTGTGCGCTTGGCAGCCGCGCAGGTGGACGATTTGTGGACCATTGCAAGCAATGAAGACCATCTCCACCGTTTCCAGTCCAGCCCAGTGTTTTCCTTTGTTTTCAGGCATTTTGCCTTTTCTTACAGCTTCATATGGCAAGAGATGGCAAGAGGATGTTGCAAGGATTGACAACCGAATCTGCACACATTTGCACAATCCATACTTTAAAACGCTTTAAAACACTTTAAGATCTTTAAGGTTTTTTGATGCGCTTTCTTTCGTGGAGGCTTGCGGGGAGCTCGGCAGCGACTGCGGCCAGGCACAGGTAGTAGTTGTCAAAGACCTTGCAGAACGCGTACTCCAAGTGAATTGGAGAGAAGGAATCCTGTACGGCCCAGGGGAGCTGAATGAGTTGAGACGTAATAAAGACTTTTGTCCAGTGGCTCAATCTATCAAGATGCACGGTCCGCCCGAAGAGGCCGGCACGGTCCCACTGTCAGGAACATTTGAGTGCCCTTTCCATGCGAACGACTGATCCACAGGCACAGGGCGCCGCGATGCGCCGCGATGCGCCGCGATGCGCCGCGATGCGCCGCGATGCACCTCGCGCGAAGCGGTCCGAGTTGAGCTTGCGCTGCACAAGATCCAAGAAAGGAACGTTTGTTCGACCATGTTCAAAAGGATGTCAGCATGATCACAGATGTCTCATCTATTGGATTCGCTGCAATGTTGCCATTTGCTGAGCTCAGCATTCAGAATGAAGAAAAGAGTAGCTTTTGCCGAACTTTCTTGAAGAATCTTGAGCTATCCTGTGTCCATCAGTAGCGTCTCAGTAGCTAGGAGCGCAAGTCCCTTTCTTAATTGCATTTAATTACTGTAAGTAGGCACCTACTCAGTTCAGTAAGGAGAAACCAACAATTTGTTTTCTTTCAGGCCAAAGTGCGGCGTGCTGCGATACAGGCCCTTGGCCGGATTGGTCCTGCAGGCTGGGCACCGTCCTACCCGTTCGTTGCCTTCGGAAGCGTCTCGTCGAAACGAGACGAGCCTTGAAACTTTCGACATCGAAGGCGTCGAAAGACACGGCCGGTTTGGGAAGGTGCTGTGGAGATACCAGCCTTTTTCAGAGACCAGGAGAGGACGAGCTGATTCATGGACTGCATGTGTACCTGTTGGTACTAGGTACCTTGCTGATCCCACGAGGTGGGAGGAGGAAGGATCCAAAAAGACAACATCTTTTCGAATATGTTGGGAAGATGTGCGATGTGACAATGTTTGTGGGGCGGTGAACTGTCATACAGTGATGTGATGTAGCGACTGCTATAGACATCCATCCCTGCTTTTCTAGACCATTCATCACCATTCTCCAGAACACCTATATACTCTTCTACCTCTTTCTTTTGGCCGTATTGTTTTTTTCTTCCCTTTCTGCTTTTCTGTATTCTACATTTCCATAGAGGTCTCGCCCTTTTCCCCACCAGTGTACTTCACTGTAGCATTCTCTATATTAAAACTTTCGTAGATGTTCCCATATCTCCTCAGCGCCAAGCTCACGCAGCCACCACGGTGTGCGTTTTGATGGTTGCAAGCTCGAATGGAACTGAGCCAGCATCAAGCTTCACTTATCACTCTTGCCGCACCTGCGGCACATGATTTTCAACCTGCACTTCAATAGGGTAACTTTTGCACCCTTCACTTTGAGGTTCCTTACTATGGGGATTGATACTGTTTCCTTACCAAGCATCACTGCATCACCAAACTTCCTCACTGATGACTGACACTGTTTTGCCACACTTGGTGCGCAGGACGATGGCATTCGCCACTTTGCTGCAGAAACACTGGGTGCTGCCGGCGATGAGGCAATGGGATCGAACAAGGAAAAATAGCAGGACATTCAGAATCACGAAGGTAGCATCAGCTACCTGAGTTCATTGAGTCATGCCTTTACACAATTGCAGGCTTACTTGAGTGGAGAAATATACCGGCAAGGTTCTATCATTCTTTGGGCATCGGTGGACATCGCAGGGGAGTTTGGGTGTCTTTTGGAAACTCGGGCAAGCATTCTTAGAAGTGCACATTCTTTGCAGAATTTCCGTGTGAAGCCCCACTGCTTTAATGGAGGATCCATCTTTGCATCGTCTTTTCAAGCTCTACCCTGATAGCAAGAAGACATAAATAGACCACTTGTATTTCTCCAAATTGCCGTCGGTATTCTTGTCCATTAAAGCGTCTCCAGGCTGCTGCTGCCGTCTGTGCCGAGCAGCTGAAGACGGCTGGACCTGATGTGAAGCGATCAGCCTTGTTGGTGAGGATTCCCAGAAGCCTTGTTGGCAGATCTCGGTATCACCGCACCACTGGGATTCATCGATCTTCTCACGACCATTTAGGAGCCAGCCCATGGCTGCCGACCGTGAACCAAACGAGAAACCGCCGCCATTGCGTGCCCATTTGTGCCCGGACAGTTGCCGCCGGGATGCGTCGCGCAGATTTGTGGTGAACGATGTTTGATGTTTGTGTGAAATCTGTGCTTCACACCAGTGCCACAGCACATGCTGGGCAAAGGCACTGGGTCGCATGAAACTTGTGGCCTGGGCGCCTCAGGCCGGAAGTGGGTGATTGATTAGAGTCATTCTATAGAGTATGTCCCTCCAAGAGGTCCAACATCGTCTAACATCCATCTATAGAACAGCAATTGTATCCACTGTATCCACTTAGCACCTCTTCAAAGGTTCAAGTGTGCATCAACAAAGGCTGTATGTCTTAGCCTGCTGGACATGGGGGTGGATGATGGTTGCGCGGCTGCGGGCGCAGGTCGCTGGCTGTTTGCACGACAGCGATCTTGCAACACGCTTGGCAGCCATTCAGGCCAGCCGGGGCGACGGGGCATTCGACCAGCGACGAAGTAGAAACTCGTCCTGTTTGGATGATTTTGCCTCGAGGTGTGACCTTTTTGTTCCACGTTCTTTTGTGTCGATGGAGATGCCGGGAGGCCGGGAGGCCACGTTCAGGCCTTAAGCGACCTGAAAGCAGAGGAGCATGCCGAGGAACTCGAGGTGCAATCCGAGGAGCTGAAAATGCAGAGGGACGAGAAGCACTGCTGTGCTCAACCTTTTAGAATCTTGAACCAAAAAGCCGGAGCTTATAGCAACTCGTTGAACCTTGCTCCTAGTAGCGATGCCAGGAGCCCCTAGTAGCGTTCTTGTTACTAAGGCCAGGAGCCCCTAGTAGCGTCCTTGCTCCTAGTAGCAACATATCTTGGATGAATACTTACAGTATATATGTCAACAATTGTCAACATATCTCAACTCACCTCCGTGAAAGCTTTTTCCAGGCATTGGCAGTGGATGGAAACAAGGGTGTGCGCCAGGCAGGGGGTCTTGTATGGTCTTGTGCTGTCTAAGCCTAGTTCACGACTCTTGGAGCTTGCTTCCTTTGAACGTCCTGGGTGGTGCATGATGGATTCGGATGCATTGTGCAGATTGTGACAGGCTGCCGTTGCAGCCCTGGCAAAGATGGGTAGTTCTGGAGCACGTTGGGCTACCAGCTTTTTGGAGGATGAGGTGTAAAGACATTGTACTCTTTGATTGGTCACTTCATATATTATATATATATATATATAATAGTATATATAAATTTGATTCAATTTGTACAACTTTCTAACAGCAAAACACATGTCAAGACTCCTTCCTGCCTCAAGAGTTACTGAAGCAAGGGTTGCTTGGTGTCTTCCCGGAGGATCCAGCGGTTCGACAATCCGCAGTGCGAGCGGGATCCTGAACTGCCGGCCGCTGTATGACTAGTTGTTAGATGATGTTAGACGTTCTAGAATGGTTTGTTTCGCAGGAACATGAATTGTACGGCCGTACGGCAAGACCTTTGCAGAAACCTGGGAGGATGATTGCTTTCCAAGATTTGATCCGCTGCTCACATTGCTGGATGAATGATTCGCAACATCCTTTTTGAGGTCTACAGCCCCCTGCACTCCAAGTTGAAGGCTTCTTTGGCCTGAGCCTTGAGCAGTGGAGATGGTGGGTGTATCGACAGGCCAGATCATCAATCCATTGTATTTCTGTCTTTTTGTTTCATGGAATACTTCTATTGAATGTCCTAGATGTTTAAACCTATTATATAGGTGGTCTAATAGTCTGTTAGGATTCTTCTATGAATTGCAATTATTTTGTGTGCTTCTTACACTTCAGCTTCGGCCATGTTCCTCTGGACGTGTAGCAAAACATGATGCTTTTTAACGTGGTATATCATTTGGTAGTCAAATTCCTGTTCCCTTTCCACGCTTTCACTTATTGGAACAGGATTTTATTGCTGGGGTTCAACCTTCATTTATACTATATATAATCGTTATTTGCTCTTTCTCGTCAATAATTGTCAATCAATAAAGGGGCATAGCATGAAAAAACACATCCATTGATAAGATTGTAAAACAAATAAAAAACAGACACCCAAAAAACACATACAATTTTAGAGCTGGCAGGTCTATCATTTCCTAGGCTTTTTCATATCTTTGTTTCCCGAATCCATGGAACAAAAAACAATCCTGCGGCAGGCCCGCCGGCTTTCCTCGGTCTTTCGGGGCACAATTTTCTCGGCGTCCGGAGAGAGACCGAGCGAGGCAAAACCATACGCGGAGATGGTGGCTCGACGGTTGTTGGACGAGGCGCGTATGTCTTTACTTCTTATTCTTGTGTGATCAAGCTTGTACTGGAAGTTCCTGGCTTTTTACTTCCAGTCCTGCAATGTAGTCACATTATACTTGTAGATCTTGAAACCGCACAAACCCAAGGACTGGCGGGTGCGCTTGGCGGCCGTGGTGGCCCTGGGCGATCTGGATGCCCAGAGCTACGTGGAGCAGCTTGGGGCCTTGAAAGGCGATCCAGACAACCAGGTGCGGCGAAGTGTCCGGGGACCTAGACTTGAGTCATCCTAAGACACGAAAAAACAATGAAAACATAGAAACACGGTGTTTGGCACCTTTGACCCGTGTTTCAGCCGTGTTTCACCCGTGTCAACTCTGTGTTCCCATGGGCGCATGGTTCGTCAGACTTGAAATGTTCCTTTTTCAATGCCAAAATACACACCAGTATTGGTGAGGGCAGCCTTCACGGCAAGTGCTTTGGAGATTTAGCCCCAAAGTGCTTCATGAAAGTTTGCAGAGCATTGGCTCAAGTTGAACGATTTGCTTCCACCACCACACAAAAATCCACTAGCTCGGTAGCAGAGATCAACTTCCCTCCACACATTCATCAGCGCAATTCACTTTGAAGCTGCTGTTTTAGTGCAAGCAAAACCAAAGAAACTTCCTCTGCCGCGATTTAACTAGCACGACTGCCGGAAATGAGTTCCTCAATCGCAGCTTCGGAGTTCCCGTGTCGCATTTCACATTGGGAGATCAACAGATCAGCGTTTCAACAGATTCGAGCTTCCCTGGAAGAATTAGGTCCCTACGTGTGGGTCCTTTCATTGATTACTGTAGCCCCAAGAAGAAGACTGGACGACAGTGGACGCGGCGAACATGGAAGAAGCCAGCTGGGTTGAATCTCTTGGCTTCCTCAAGGATGGCGAGAACAGACGATGTACCCTGACAACTGTGCACGCATGAGGGCGCAAGTTGAGAAACTTGGTGAAGAGCATGCAAAAAACAAAGTTAAACTTACAACAGATTACAAGTAGTAAGAAACTACTAGTAGCAAAGGGCATTACTACTAGTAACAAGAAGCTACAACAGGAATTGGGAACAAAGAGCATAATAAAACAACAAGAACATCGCCGGGTTTGAAGCATCGGTCGCAGGACTTCGAGGTGCGCCGTCGTGCGGCCTTTGGGGAGTGGCTCGAAGGCTTCAAAGCACGCCTGGCCACGGAGCGGCGCAAGGCCACCTCCTCGCAGCTCTTGGTGGCACAGGAGCGGAGTAAGTAGACCAGAGCCCTCCAAATGCGTTTGATGAGCGCAGGGGAGGAACATGACTGAAGTAAGACAGGAGTTTCTTGGATGTTTTCTGGGTGTTTTCAAGTGCGTGCGTGTTCAGATGAGCGGGGTTGTAAAGTTGCGACAAATATATTTGTATATAGCTTAGCTTAGCATTGGACTTGTAGATTTTAAACTTACTTGTATGCTCTCTTACGTAGCTTTTCTGAGTGAGTTTCTTTTTCTTTTTCGAGGTTCTTTGCACGTCTTGCGACTTCATGTGGCAGTCGATTTTGTTATCCGAAGGCAGTGATCATGGTTCTGGTGCTGTTTTCTTTGGGACGGTTGTGGTTTGAAGATGCTTTCTGGGTGATGGCAGGTGAAGGCCCAAATCCGAGAGCGTGCTGAGTTGGACGAGGACCGTTCGAAAACGTGGAGCGGAGTGAACGTCTTGGAGAGGTCATCCCAACATGGTAATGGAGAGGCCTTAGAAAGAGATTATCTGATTATCTGCTTCATTCCGCTTCATTTGTTTTCCCTACTGCCAAATCTTACCACTCTGGTGGATTCGGTGGCAGGATTGAGCTTTGAAAGGATTGAGCTTCAATTTCAATCGAATTTCCCAAGACAAACGCATCAGTGCCTGAAGGATGTCAGCAAACGCATCAGCAAGTTCGCTGCACGGGAGCTTTCTCGTACAGAAGACTGGTGTACAGAAGATCGTGCAGATGCTGACTTCTTGTCCTCGGTGCAGCTTGAATGTGCCAAGCAACTGGCTGAAGCTAGTAGTTCCTTTCGGGTCCTGTTGGAGAACAGCGAGAACTTCAAGGACATGGACACCTGGCAACAATTTTGCAGAACAAAAGGTCACGCCCCTCTCCGCATGAACATGTCAGCGTTGCGCCAAGGAAACCTTGAGCAGGGACGGCTTCAAAACCATCGCTCTCGCGGAGCAAACAGTCAGAGATGCAGAGGCCAAGCACACAGACTGCATTGCAGCTTGGGGAAAGCATGAATCGCTGTGCCGGCAGCAGTTTGCCAAGATTTGCTTAGAATCCTTTCACTTTTCTGCACCTTTGGCCTGATGTCGGTTGTGGATGGTCTCTCTTAAACCTTGAATGCCCCACAGCTCATGGTTCAAAACAGGAAAAGAAACGAACGCATGATGATCATGTAAGAAAACATGACTTCTCTTTGGATCGGCGACGCCTCTTTTTCAGGTTGGGCTCCAGAGACCTGACCGGACTCTGGAAATCGGAAGCATCGTACCGGAAGAGCGTGGCCAAGTTTGCGGATGCCGCAGATGCCGCGCACCAGAAGGCCGCAGGCTTGGCGCGACAACTGAGAGAGGAGGCCGAACGATTCCGGGCTCTCACCAAGAGTGTGTTGTCCGATGTGGCTGCTTGCACCGCGGCCAGCTACAACACACTGGCCAGAACGGCCAACGAGGCCAGCCCGTATCGGCAGCAAGCGATGGAGACGCGGGTGCCGTCAATCCCGCATTGGCAGCGCCCAGTTCCGCCAGCATCAGCACTGACTTTGAGAGAATGCCCTGCCGAAAGACAGGCAGGGCTTCTGCGACATTGGCAGAGCTGCCACTTGCTTTTGACCAAAGAAGGCTCTGTGCATTGTTATGATGGTGCTGATACTGCAAGGACTTCTCCTGTTTGGTCAGGGCGACGCTTGGATCTGCAGCTGATAGTAGTTCCGATCATTCAATTATGCTTATAAGCTGCTTATATAGCGATCTCCGAAGGAGGTCAGCTGAAGTTTCAGTTTACGATTAGATGGGTTAAAATCGAAGGGATCAATTGAAAAATCACTACAAGCGGCATCACAATAAAGGGTGACGCTGTCACAAACATCATCCCCAGGGGATTTTTTAGTATTTTTAAGGTGTTCTCACATTCGTCGTTGTCATCGCTTTCGTTCCCGCCTCTCAAGTTACATACATTTGTGATCACTTGCGAAGCATGCAGCCCAACGAACCCTGTGTGTGGTTCTCCCAGGACCCAGCCATGAAGGTGGGTCTTTGTCAGTAGACCCAGCTGCTCAGACACTGACCCTCTATCCTGCACGAGAGTGGTTGAAACAGCGCTGGAGCCTCACAGTTCGGCTCCCCAGCGAGGAGCAGGGTTCGCCGCGGCGAAGTCAACAGGTCGTGTCAAGCTCAGAACTTGTTGGTCGACTAATTTGATCGATGTCGAGCAACTCAATTTTTAAGACAGCTAAGCTTGAAGTTCAGCGGAATCCATGCGTCCCCCAAAACGGCCTCCGAATCGAGCTTTGCTCGAACCATTTCGTGAGGAGCTCTGCGAATGGGAGAAGCTCCTTGCAGCCTGGTGGCCTTCGGGTGACCCCGAAGAGCCGATGCTCGGAGGCACAAAGTGGACCCCATCGGGGCTAGCTGTTCATCTGAATATCTTCAGCTCAGTGAACATTTGATGGACATGTATATGAACATTTGGGTCAGTTGCAAGGTAAGTACATTGTTCAATGGAGCATAATAGAGCTATGAGATGAGCTCAGTACTGGGAGATGAGAGTACATGTAAGCTCAGCTCGTCTTTTTTATCCAACTGAGACCGGTGGACGCGCAGCACTTCTCGGATTCGCTTCCACCGGCGGAGTCGCCCACAGCAGATCCGGAGCTTCCGGATCCGACGGAGCCAACGGAGCCGGAGCTTCCAGGTGAAGGTGGTGAAGGTGTCGCTGGTTGCGGTTTGGAGCGGGACTGTTGCTGTTGGATTCTGGGAGCTTCTGAGATACATACATTATACACACATTACATACTCGTACTATCTCGTACTTGCTTGCACATGAGGGTCCGCGAGTCCAAGACAATGGAGTTGTCTTGGAGTTGGTTCAATGTGATGGTTGTTTGCATCAAATCCGTATACTTATATGTATTTATATGTTTTTTTGAAATCACGTTTCTTCTACACATTCCGATATATGATATATATATATAATTTATACTCTTACCATCGTGAAGCTATGCTATTCTCTAGATGCATCAAAAAAGAAGGTACCAGATACTGGGCAAGGAGGGCACCTCCGCTGGAGTCAGGGTCTCTATAGGTGTTATGCCAGGGTCACTTCCGCCCACCGTCTCCTCCCGCATCCTCTCCTCCTGCTCCTCCTCCTTCTTCTGCTCCTTCTCCTCCTCCTCCTCCTCTGGCTGCTAGGGTCTGACTGCGGAATAGCGTGCTCCGGGCTCCGGGCGGGCTTGTATGGTGCACGCTTGACTCTTACCGGTTCGGGCGGCAGAGCAGTGCACTGGTCTTTTCGGAAGAAGCTTCTGAAGGTGACGGAACACCTGTCATAACACATACCAGAGCAAATGTCTGAACATACGTCAGAACACATGCCGCAAGGACTGGCAGGTTTGATGACAGAAAAAGTGTCAGGATACATGACAGAAGAGCAAATGTAGAGACTTATAGAGACACATATCAGAACATATGCCAGAAGATATGTCAGAACAAATTTTCTGACTTGACGGACGGCAGGACACATGTCACAACACTTGTCAGAAAGGATGAAAGAACACACTCCAGAACACTGTCGGACCTTTATGCGGATGTGTCAAAACACCTACCAGACCTGATGCTAGGAAACAACGTCAGAACATGTCAGGACATTGTGACAGTGTGTGCCTTCTTCCAAGTCGCCCTTCAAAGCGGAAAAACACACGCAGGGCGTATACTTCTGCATCTTGCAGGTGTCAACGAGGCTCCAGAGGCGACCCCAAGTGAACAGGAGGGCCATCCATTTACCTGAATCTCCGAGAGCGAGAATGAAAAGAGATTCTGGTCACGGAGCATTCTGCGGCTTGCTGGCTTTTCATGCGTTCTTCGGACGAAGTGGTTGGTCCAGAGTCGAGCCTGTGAGTGTTCCTAGGCTCTTGCAGCTCTCGAAAAATTGGGTGCGGCTCTTGATCTTGGAAGGAAAGATAAGAGATAGAGCCTATATCTATATAGGATGGAGCCTATATCAAAACGTTATATATATATATACAGATAAAATATCCTTTGATCATTTTCAAGTGTCGAAGGAGGAATTTCACAATTCGGTGTTCACCTAAAAACATCATTCGGAACCCAAGGTGCACTACCCGCCTTGGCCGCTGGCTTTCTGGGGGATGACGACCCAACTGTCCGCCTGACGGCCTGGATGAGAATGTTAGAACGTAGGAATCTTCTGGGCAGAATCTTTTGAAATGGTTGCATGATCCCAGCTGGGCAGAGATGTCAAAAGGTTTCCAGAGTGTGACTATGTCTGATGTGATAAACTCACGCTGGGTCTTACGTTGTAAGATGACCCGGCACGAGCAACATCGTCATGGTCCCTCGGTCGTCCAAGGCAAAGATGCCGAGAAGGTGTACCATGCACCAAGCTGAGAGTGTCATGTGCACTTGGCAGGACCAGGAAACCGGTTTGCCTCCACTCCACCATCCCAAGACTCGAGAAGGTTGCTGAGACTGTGAAGACCACAATTTCATGTACAAACAGGTGATCTCCAAAAAAAGATGTGCATGTTCTGAAAAATGGTCATACCAAAAGATTCTTTTTGAATTGTGAGAGTGCAGTCTGGGTATACGGCAGATTTGTGAAACCCGACACCTGGTAAAGTGAGGCGTTGGGAGGTGGCCAAGATCAGGATGAGGAGTTGTCGGAGGTTTGGAACTGCGGCAACTAATGTATGGCTGCGGGGAAGGCCATTTGGTCTACCTAGTCTCAACATGCCTTACTCGTAATTCTTTGCCTTCACAAGGATGCCAAATGATGCACATTCTGGATTCATTCTGCAGTGTTGCTGATGTATCTTTCGATGTCCTCAAGATATGATCATCCGATGCACTGTGCAAAGGCTGACTGAGAAGCACAAGCTGAACCAGCTGAAGACTCAAGTGACTCATTTTTCGGCAGCCCATGACGTTCGGATCTTCCGGTCAGTCAGGCTTGCCACATTGCTTTTATGTTGCCAGATGTTGCCAGCAATGACTAGGGCAAGGAACCCTGGTTGAGTACCTGCGACCAGCGAGCTGTGCATACCATACCTGCCCGAATGAAAGCCGAGCTGACCCCGAGTCCACGTGTTGTTTGTTTTGTGAGCCCCTGACATATTTTTGTATAATATACCCTGACAATCGACCAACATTGGGAAGCCTAGCACGGCAACATCCACCTTGAACCTTCCCTGAATGGAGAATTGTGCGGTTGCAGATTCTCACGAAGACCATGATACTCGTATGTGTTCCGCAAAGACATACATGCATCATGCTGCACCGCAAGGGAAATGGTTCCTTCACTTCTTGCTGGACAAAAGTAAATGTGCACGCAACACAAAATTGACTCCATTGTGTAGCCGCGTGGCCTTGGCTCAAAGACATCCTTCAGATTGGCCATAAACACTTAAAACCGCTGCAGACGCTTCGAATATGCCTTTGCAGAAGTAACGGAACAGGCGACTAGATCACAGGACACTTCAAAGGCAAAAGGAGTTGCGAACGCCAAATAGTCTTGAACGAGATCAACATGTCGCCGCTGCCCTACGATGAATAAGCATGTTACACGTTTGAAGATCTCCACATTGCTTTGCTAGGATTGAACCCTGGCAGCATGGCGGCCATGGCAGTGAGGCGACAGATCTGAGGAAAAGGGTCAATACCGGGCCCCATCGCCCGCCCGCCTCCAGGACAGTTATAGATGGACTTTCAACTTTTGTATATAACTTTGTGCAGCCCTCGCAACAACAGTTGTACTAGCCTTACGAATTCATCAAACCAAACGTAATTAGATGCAGCTTGTCTTGATCCATAGGAATTGCAAGCTGTTTGACAAGTGGATGGCAAAAATTGCAGACTGCATTTCTGCATTTCCAGTTGCACCAAAGCGAACACTGATTGGACAGCCAGGACCTGTCAAGATGACAGAGCGCCTTTTGACTGGGGCGGCCATGCTTGGGTGCGCTCTACTGTTTGTTTGTCATGGCATTGGTACGATGGCATGGCATTGGAGTCCAGCACAGCGAGCTTGGAATACTTGAACTTGCACTCTATTTAGCAAAGAATTTGCGCACTCTGGGCCATTTTCAGTGCCCAACTGCCGTCCTCGTTGTCCCACAGTTGGGCTCAAGAACTTGGACCTTGAAACCAGGCCAAGCCGACGCCATGGATGCTCGGGTGGCGGATTTTCTGGGAGATTTGTTTGGATCATGGGGATTCAACCAGGCCTTTTGCAGGCGGCAAACAAACGGACCGCGTCAAGAGGATTTGGACGGATTTGGGGTTGTCCTTGCCTTTTCGGCTGGGATGCGGTTTGCATGCAGCCATAGTGGTTTGGCATACGGCCGCTCGAAAAAGACAGCCCTTGCAGGAACTGGCTTCACATGAACATCGAAGATGATGAAATGCGAGACATTCCCAATCCTTGGAATGCACCTGGGAGCGTGAAGTGATACGGTCGAAACATCGGGTACGACCTGTACACCGTAGGTAGAGGACACGGATGTGGATCGAGGCACTGAGTTTTGCAGAAAGCGAGTAGGGTTAAATGTTAAGAGGTCCTTGCTGGTAGTAGCGATTCCCTTTGTTCCTAGTAGTAAGGCCAGGAGCGCCCCTAGTAGCGTCCTTGCTCGTAGAAATGCCCTTAGCTACGACCAGCTGTACAGCTGGGTGGGCATATCTTCGCACAGCTTTTCAGCGAGGAAATGCAGCTGCACATCAGCTACAAGTTCGCAGAGGTGCTCAAGGGCTTTTGGCTTGAGCATCCAATTCACACATAAAAGGACCGAGAAACCAACATTTTCAAGAGTGCCCTTCACAGCTTGATCGGCCAAACCTGCCAAACACAGCCTAGCAGATATTGAAGCACAGCCCGTTGAACGGCAGAGGCATTTTCCCTTCTTGGGCTTGGAGCAGGCTGGGAACACATCCAAACAGGTTTTGTCTTCTCTCTTATGCAGTCCTTTGAGAGGAACCGCAGCAAAGAGCTGATGTGCTTCACATCTTCACATCTTCAGGCCTTGTGCTGGCTCGCAAGCCCAACCGTCTCCGCAAGATGGGGCAAGCGGCTTTCCTGGGAACCTGCATTGGTGCAGGCCCTGTGGGCTTCACAGCATGGCCTCTTGGAACCTGGCAGGGCCCGTTTTGGACTCAAGGGAGAATGGGCTTTTGACAATTGTCCACGTTCCCAAGTCAAGATGGGCCGGGATTGCTCCGCTTTGTCTCTGAGGAATTGGAAGGGCTCTACTCTCAAAGATGATGAAATCTACGCGTGACCCTCAGCACTTCTTGTGTTGATGAATTGCTGCGGCTGGAGCACAAATGGAGTGCCGGGACATACACCAGCAACAAAAGAGTACCACAATCACAGCATCCCCCGGGCTGGCTGTTGTATCGATCTTTGGATTTTTGGCCCGTGTTGCAGGGTGTAGGAGCATTCAACAGCGCGGGTGGATCTGTGGGGAAGAGCATGGTATAGCATGGTTCAGTGCATCAGCTTCCTTTTTCTGCGAGATATCCAGATGAAAGACCGACAGATCGATCATTATTGATCGGTATCGTGGCGAGGACAGGGCCTATCGGTTGAGATACAACCGTCACCAGATCCGCGTGGACCAAGCCTTTGAAGCTGGTTGCCAGCTGGGCCTGGTGGGTGGACTGGTGATTTCCAGATGCTCAGCAGCGATCTGAAGAGGGATCCCGGCAAGTCTGAGATTCTTCCGGGATTCCGAGTTGCAGACTGACTGGTTTTGTTGAAGGATGTTGAAGGTAGAAAATGGATGAACATGGTAGAAACTGTGTTTTCTCAGTGTTTTTGTGCCAAGCGGTATCTCCAAAAGATCACGTTCGTCTCACAGGGTCTTTTGGGATTCGCTCGCTGAAGACATGTGCGAAGGAAGCATTGGAGCGGCTGTTGCCGACTGTGGCACGCTGGGAGTGGTCGGCACGCTGGGAAGCATCGGCTACATTGCGTACGCGAAGCCGGACAAGCTGAAGTGGTAGTGGCTGGAGCAAGCCCACGCACTCAGGAACGGCCAAGCTGTCCGACAGCTGGCTCTCCTCTCGGTTTGCCAACAAGCACAGATTCGTTTGCAAATTGCAGAAGTGTTGCTTCCAGACGCCAACAAGCGCGGTTTCAGTTCCGAAGGCAACACCTGCATGTTGAGCAGGCACTTTTTAAGGCAAATGATTGCACACATTGACTGGAGTGTTTGCTTGTCACTGTATCGATGCGGCCTTGGCCTTGAGCACTCCTCGTCCTCGGTATCCGGTGTCCTCTACTTCGACCGGGTGCTATAAGTCTACCACTGGTGACAACGGTTCTATTCCATTCTTCGGCACAAAGAAGGACCTTCCGGATCAATGTTAACGGGATTGGCAGGTTGAGTATGGGAGTGCTCGTCCTGGTGCAGAGCATGTGACGAATTCTTGCTCGGTTTTCCAATTGTTTCCCGCTGCGCAGGGAAGGGCCGGACCCCAACTGGGTCGACAACTTTTCCAGCTTCATCCTTTCCCAGGACCAGAACTCGGGGTCCCAATTGATTTGCACATGGTCCAAGTTCTGCAATTCATTCAGCTCATGTTCACTTTGGGTGAGCGTGAAAGTCACAGAACAGTCTATCATAATGCTCACTCATCATGGTTTGATTGAAATGAGTTCTGCTTTGCAGAGCTTGTGCCCACCTCCCACATGCCAGGACTATGACCAAGCGCGGGAGGTCCTTCGAGCAGCCATCTCCAGAGGCGGTTTACCGACCCAGGAAGATTGGCATTTCAGCATGTCAAATTGTAGCTCTGTCGCCTCATTGAAGAGCATTCTGCACGTCGGAGATGGGTTTCAAAGCTGCAGGATTTCATCTCCCTTTCAGGACACCGAGGTGACATAAGCAGTGTCACCTGTGGCCGAGAGAATCAACTTATATTGACTTATATATTATATATCCGTTCGCATGCAGCTTAATTACGATTTGTGAAGCTCAAAATTGACGATCAATAATTTTATCATGTTTTATCATGTGTTATCAGCTGCCAATTCATTACGTGCTTTGGACATGTTTTATGTTTTTTTATTTTTTAATATAGTGCTGCAAGTGAAGCGTGAGCTATTCCGGAGATTGGCCATAGTCCATAGTTGATCCGTGAGGGCATTGGATTTGCTTTTTCGAACAGAACAGTGAACCTTTTGCCTGTGAGGTGTGAGCAGTCAACTTGCAGAGCAGTACGCCAAGGCAAAGCTGGGTTTGGCCATGGCTGGAGGGTTTCATTGCAATCCTGACCAAGAGCGGCTCCATTTCAAGCGACTGTCCCGAATTGGATGCGCATACTCCAGTCAACGCTAAGTTCCATCATTTTACCAGATTCCAAGACTCGTGGAAGGGGGTGGAAATCATAGTTTCTTCCCAGTCCCAAATTTGCTTGCTTGAGGTCTTGGAAGACTTCCTTCAGAAGCGTGACGAGGTTGAACATCCGGTGCGCCTCCCAATGTTTGCGGACGAGCCGATTACTATCCGCCCAAAAGTGAGGCATTGAAGTCGTGCTCAGGTGATCCTGGCGCAACACGACCAGTGCATCGTTAGGCGGTGGGCAGGGGTAGATAATGGAAAAATAAGCAAAGGAACATGAGAGGATTTTCAATGAACTTGAAGTTCCTTTTGACCTGCACTTGCACCTTTGAATAGAAGGGTAGTCCGATTGATTTCTCCTCGAGCACTGATTGAAGCTGCATCACGTTGCCTGAGAACGTTCAGGCAGACCGTCAATGGCCAAGGCCGTGGTTAACTCAGTATCTTCCTTTGAATGCTAATGTGTAGAATGATTAGAATGTCCATGCACAGAGTAGTTTTCTAGTGGATTCACCTGAATGCTTTCGGTTTGTGACCACAACTGGCCATAATACTTAAGTCTCAGTGACTGGCCATAAGCAGCTCTGCCGTTCAGTGCCGAAATTCATGGCCACCCGGTCTCCTCCTCCGCGTCCTCGTTCTCCCCGGACTCGACGACAGTCGTCGTCCCAGGTGGACTCTTTGTTCCGAGCTATCAGACCTGGGGCGTCCAGCTCTGGAAGCAGCGGCCGCTGGCGCCCCTTGGTCGATCAGGGCAGGGCAACTGTTGCATTAAGTGATCAGGTCAAGCCGGTCAAGCAAGTGTTGCTGCACGTTGCTACCATCACAGAAGCTCCTGCTCGGCACACATCACAAGACGTGCTTTCTGCTTTGCAGCTCAGACCAGGTTTATGCAATCTGGCATCAGCCGAAGGCCCTGGCTCATTTGCCACATCAGCAGCATCAGTCTCTTCGTGTTACACCTCATGGGACATTTCTGCTTTGGCATGCAACTGAAGGTGTGAAACTTGTCAAGCATTCTTGAGTGGTTGCGTCTTAGACCTTCGCTTGCGGTGTTAAACTTGCCGTGCGCGCACACAGACTCCAGGTCTGTACAGGTTTGCTGTGCCTGCTTGCTGCCAATTGGTAGCTTGGCATCGCAGCACGGCCACCCAAGGTTTGGAAAAGACCAGACGGATCGTCTTTGACAGCTGAAATACGGTTGAATACAGAGTCCATCAAGTTAAAAAATATTGGTGGAATACAGATGATTTGGTACAGAATTTGAGTGGCTAGAGTCCAGAAACCCAACAGAGTCTGCTGGCTGATAGGACATGACTGAAGGGAAGTAGCAGGAGTGAAAGACGTGTAACACGTCTCCTTTGCTGATCAAGTAGAGTCCACCCGGACACAGTGCTCACGATGAAGGTGGAATCGAGCTACTAAGGCTCCGACATGTGGGTCTCGATCCGCCCGCCGGAGCAGAGGAGAGTCGAAGCGAATGGTAGCACACAGAATGGTGGCAAATCACTGGTTTAATCAATAAGCGCGTTTGCTGCAAGGATTCAGAAACGGAGTTTTTGCAGCAGTGCACTCTGAAAGTCAGATGTCGAAACGTGCTACTGTACCAGACTTGGTGCAGGAGATTCTATTGACGAATGGAGACCAAGTTGGAGAGGACTCCGGGTGCGGGTCGTTTAGTGTGTTTGCAACTCCAATCTTACCCTCCCCTCGAACAATCGCTTTACAAACAGGAGTCCACGTCCATGTTTGGAGGAAGGGTACAGTATAGTATCAAGGTGTTGACGTTGGCCATCTTTGGCCTGACTGAGCGAAAAGCCATCATCTAAAAGCCATCTTGCTTGGGGCTTGTGCCCTGTTGCGTCCTGTTTCCCTTTGCATGCTACGAAACCTGGCGAGGCGTCTCCCTACAAAAGGGTGAAAGGAGTCTACCATACCTGAAGAGTACAATGTGCACATATTTGCACCTCTGAACAGTCCAAACCATACGGTGCCTGAAAATGAGCCCCGCTTGCTGCTGGACAGTGTGGAACACTGGGGCCAGTGGCTTTCTTTGTGCTCAGTGCTTCCACACGTGTCACGGGTTCTTTTTCCCAATGTATAATTTGGATATGTTCCCACACGTTTCAGCCCCCAAGCACATTTCAGATCGTTTGAAGAACATTTCCGCGGGAACTTGCTCGTTAAAGTTCAAGCCGCAAGCAAGAAGCCAAGGAAGCGCCTAAACGAAGTTAGTATGACCAAAACACTAAAATTGCAATGGCGACTTCTTTGTTTGGGTGGATTGCAAAGGTTTAGGTGCTATACTCCAGAATGGGGACATTATCATACATCATTCCACATTATCCACATACCTACCCTGGCGATGATTGCTCCTATCCGCCGAGTTTCCATCGAGGAAGGCCCCAAAGAAGGCTTCACTCCTGGTCAAGTGGAGCTCCTGGAGATTTCGCGAACATGTGTGAAACATCGCTGCCCACATCAGCAACTCTGTAAACTGATCGTGAGCTGAAGTCAAGAAGGGATGCCTGTAACTGATTCCACATGATCACTTCAGTGTGCAAGGAGGCCGTGCATGGATGATCTACAGCTGAATTGTATTGTGATTTCCGCAGACATGAAAGAGCCTGTCACAAGGGCAGCTCCCAAGGTCTTCCCTTGCGCTGAAGGATGCTCCGAGGCCACGACGACATTGGTCATGAGGAACTGAGATAGTTTCTTTGTTTTTGTCATGCAAGTGCTTCCCAATGCCCAACAGCCCGACGTTAGACAGCACCCTTCAGCCAAAAAGGCAAAGACTTCTCTACGAGATTGAGGCACAGATAAACATGTTATTTTCCAGCTCTAAAAAAAACAGAATGAGAAATTTCCGAAGTTGGTGTGCTGATTTCGACCATGAGAGATTTCATAGATGAACCATGTTGACTTGATTCATGGACGATGCATCATTTGAGGATGCTGAGTCCACCCTTTGTCCAGGTCTTTTGCACCGAAGCTTGCCGTGCTTGGGTGCCGACCTCACAAGCGGTCGGTACTGGTCACCTGAACCAAGAGTAGCGGTCCCTCAAATGTCACTCCAGGGAGGGTTTTTGCTGGACAAGAAGCTTTGGCTGGATTGAAGTTGCAGCTGCTATTTTCTTGGAAAAATGATAGACTACTGGCCACCAAAGGCTTAAGAAGTGCAAAATAAGCTGTGAAAAATGCCTCTTCCGTGTTCCCAGTCGCTTTCCAAGTGGTGGGTGCCACCACGTGTGGTGCCCAGGCGCTCGCGGAGTCTTCCCATGCCATTCTATGCCGTTCACGCATGGAACCATCCAGCCTTCACCTGAGCAGATTGAGCAGGCTCTGCACATAGTCAGGTGTAGGCGTTAAACCACTTAATGGCTGTAGACCCCTGGACCCGGTGCTGACCCCAAAAGCAGGATTTTGCAGGTGAGTCCAGCTCCTGAACCTTGAAGGCTTTGCCAATGAAGGCTTTGCAGTTCGATTGATCGCACGCTTGTTGGGTGCATGGTTGGTGTATGTGGATGGCTGTGCGGCTGGTCGATGTCGCCCAGCGTGGATGTCACCTCTTTGAGGTTCCTCCGCTCTACAAAGCTTAGAGCAGCTTGCTGATGAGGCAGATCAGGCCGTGGCCTTAATTGGATGCCAGACTTCCGAGGTGGACAAGACGACAAGACACGAGGGGCTGGGCAGCGATGTCTTTGGATGTGGGCAGCCGTGTTTTGTGATACTCTTCTTTGTGGGCTGGGCCAGGCTTGCGTGAAGTTGAAACACACAGTCACACCTCTAAGTTTTGCATCATGTTTGCTTCAGATGCAAAACAACCAGTGGATTTGAAGAGCTTTGCCAAGGAACACTTGCTGCTATTGGCCCATGCCGTTGCACAGATGATCCTGGCAAGGCCCACGCTTAGTACGGCGGCTTCGAGACTGGGCCAAATAGGCACCGCATATGCATGCACGCTCGAAGGTCAGAGCAGACAAGTTGCGTTTCGTTTCTGTTGCGTTTGGGGTTTGACGTGGCCGAGCTAAGACGCACATGAAATCTGCCAGGAAGGCTGGAGCCTCTGAGGAGCAGGCCGTGGATGCTTCCTGCTAAAATGTCTCAAACAAGGGCTATATAGATGGTAAGTTACTTGTATACATATATATAGTATACATATATATATGTTTATATACATACATATACAAATATAGTTACTTATTTAAGACATGTTATATCCATCATAGCACCAATCATTGAAGAAGAAAGGTAAGTAGGGGAAAATAATACGCCCAGATTTCACTCACTCCTAGACTGGATTCGCCAAGACTCGCCAAGCCTGGACTCTAGGTGAAGCATCGCTTTGCATATCAATTCGCATCAGCGCCCTGGAAGACCTTGGCCCAGAGCCTCAAGCGGCGATGGATCACGATTCACGATGATGTTCACTTAGTCTCAAAGAAGCTGGGGAGACTTGCTTGCCCAGAGCTTGTTTGGAGCAATCTGTAGCATGCCCAGTGTTGAAGGTCTTCTGAAACATGAAGCCCCGATCCCAGCTCCGTGCTGAGTAATTAGCGCTTCAAGGGGGTCAATTCGGAACTGAAGGCTTTGGCCTGGCACGTCCTTAGATGCCCCTAGAAATGTGACAGACACAAGAAGACGGCTGACATGAACATCTTGCAACATCCTCTTTGCCAATACCCCCTGCAAGAGCCGAGGCTGAGAACGAGACCGATGCTCAGGTGGATGATACGGTGAAGAGAGTCCCCATTGATAGTGCTGGTGCTATTTGGTGCTGGTTGATGTGTTCGATTGGCTTCCAAATACGGTTCAACGTCTTCAAGTCTAGTTAGTCTAAACGCTGGATTTTGTAGCAGTTCTTTCTCCCATCACACTCTTGGCAAAGAGTGGGGTTTTGGAGGGGGAAGCATCTCCAATTTGATCCAATTTGATATTTATGAGTTTCAGCAGTATGGCAGCTGACGCCATGGTTGCACAGAAACCCAGGGAAGAAAGTGAACCAGCCAAAATGGAATATTTCATAAAGGCTGAAATCCTGAGGATAGGTTAACATTAAAGCTCTCCTTGACTATATCCAGAACATACACTCTGACTCACTAACATCATGGAAAATGGGCCCGAGGATGACCATTTTCCGTTACACAGGCGATTTTACCCACTTGCATGTTGGGGAGTCGGAGAGCAATTTCACCTTGTCCTTGAAGTGATCAGGAGAGTTGATGTTGGTCCATCCCGTCATGGCTGGCCCTCCCTTGGTCTCCCTTGCAGGCCAGAGAAGAGTGGTTCGCACAGGTGGGACACCGATGGTTTGTTTGATTGCCCGTTCTGTGTCCTTTCGGCTGTGTCCTTTCGGTACCCTGTCTCCGACAAATCAGATGACAATGGCCCCTGCAAAGACGATTTTCCTTTACAAGTTTTACAAACAGGGGATTGTCCACTTCCATGTTTGTTGGAGGGAGGTTTCTTTAGAAGATCTGGGAATCCATCGAAGCATAGCGAAGAGAAGAATCGGTTTCCCCCCATGTTTGGCTCAGGTGTGTGGGGTGTGTGGTGGTTCCAGAACGCTGCACCTTGAATGTTCATCGAGCAATAAGAAGACCTCCACCTGAAAGTCCATTTTAGGGCTTATTCCCAAGAACTTACATCAGTCAAGGACACCACGGTGTCAAGTGAAGTCTCGAGGCCTGGGAGTTGTTGAAGAGCATTTTCGCCTTTGAAGACTTGGCAGTGGAGTTCTTGGATCCTGAACTCCTCAGTGGGCCCTTCGGCGAAATTGGAGAAACCATCGGTCGTGGCGGACACACGGCGGACCGGTGTCGTGTTGACTCAAGAGCGTGTCACAAGCAATGCTTTTGGCCATCGCAATGTTGTTACATGTGGCTTCACACTGTGCTGCACGGTGTGATGGAGTAAGAGAGGTGCCTTGGAGTTGCTTTCCGTCGGCAACTTGTAGAGATGAAAACGAAGAGCTATACTACCTCCGAACAGAAGGAGCACTTGGCAAGCATGTTTTTCAAACGCTACACCGGCATCTTACTCCGACCTGCATTTTTTTCCTCGTTTGCACCGAACAGGCTGCTTGGCACTTTTGAGCTTGTGAATATGTGCCCTTCCTGCAAGAATGGCGATGCTGAGAGACACCGTAAGGATCTGCAACTTGTTGATCGAATTGCCATGCCTTGGCGACACATCCTTGGAGCGGGCGACTGTAGGTCTAGCAGTAGCCACAAAGAACAGTTGTATTCAAAACTTATCCAAGTTGTTTGTGTTGACGTAGGGCTCTTTAGGCCCGGGTTTCGTGTTTCACTGATGTTTTTCTTGAATACAAGCAACATTTGGTTTGATTTGACCGAGGTGTGTGAGTATTCCACACCCACTGAACCTCCATGGGCCACGGCTCAGACTTCTGGGTGAAGAGCTGGCAGCGGCACTGGTGAAGCTTCAGGACCGAGAAAGTGAAGCCCGATGGGGCGTGCTGATAGGATGCAAGTAAGATCAAGAAGTAAAATCAAGACATAGCAAGATTTGCAGGATCTGGGTTTGAGGGTGTGTCCGTCTCTCCCTGATGAAAGATTTTGTGAGAGCTCGAGGTGGCACCTGAGAGAGAAGCCATTGAACCAAGGGTTAGACCCAGGGGGCAAAATGTGGATGGACGATTCTGACTCTGCTGATGATGCACATGCAAACAGCAAGCACCCTACAACACCAGCAATTCCAACATGTGCGGACACAGTCTCCTTCGCAACAAGCTTGCAGCACCTCACCAGCTCACCCACAGCTCTGCAAGATTCCCTCGCGAAGCCTACCTTGCAACGTTGGATACTGATGGATGCTGTCCTTTCTGTTGTTGTTTTAAGTTTCAATCATTTGTTGGATTGATGCTGATGATGGTTGCAGTCATTGGTTAAGGCACTATTCTCTACATAGCAAGCATTTTTGGAGCTAGGCAAACCACTTATTCAGCAAATGATGAACGATCATGTTGCTTGCACTGAACTGCAGGAGCCCCTGCAAGATAGCGATAGCGAGCCGGGCGAGGAGACGTGGTCCTCGCGTGTGGAGGTCTTGGACGGACGAGATGAGAAAAGCACCGTGGCATCTTTGTTCTTGAGAGATCCCGGCAGACGTGATGAGATGTTCACCGTGTCTCATGTGGGAGGTTCCGGCGATGAAGTCCGGTGTGCAAACAGACGACACAAAGTGCGTGGATCGTGGGTGGACGGTCAGAAACCCATGTTCGACCATTCCAGGAGGATGCAGATGATGCTGAAGGTGCTGGGTGAAAGCCTACTAGAAGGGGTTTGCTCCACGATGGGACATCAGACAAGACACTTTTAGTGTACTGGATTAGTTGGGACGAACGTGAAAAGTGTGTGGTTCGTCTCCCAACATCTCAATCTGAAGGAAGTGTCGCTGATCGCTGAAGCTGAAGTTCTTTGCGTTTGTTCGATGCGAATTTGGGGCACAAGGCCATAAAGATGTTTGATCTCTTCACTCGTTCTAGGAAAAGGCATTCGTCAATGTGATGACAAATCGCAGGCGAGGTCATCAACGGTGCAGAGGTCTGGCGCACGAACTCGTGGAAAAGCTCATTGTTCTTGGCCGAAAGTGAGGGTGTGTACTTTATTGTTGGGTGACCCCATGTGACCCCCAAACCAATGGGTTTTTTGGAGGCCATTGCTAGTAGGTTGGAGATCATGGCCAGTAGGTTAGAGGCTAACGCCAGTAAGTTGGAAGCCAACACCAATAGGTTGGAGGCCATCGCCAGTAGGTGGGAGGCAATCGCTAGTAGTAGTAGGTTGGAGGCCATCGCCAGTTGGAGGCCATCGCCACTAAGTTCAAAGCCATTGTTCTTTGAAATCTTGTTCTTACAGTTTTTTCCCTCAGGCCTTGGAGTCGGCTTGCACGGGGCAGCTCTTCGAGCGACTGGGCATGGGAACGGACATGGGAACGGGTCACCCAGGATGAGATGGGAGGTTTGCCTAGACTCTAGACTCTAGACCATTCGAGACCTATGGGGTGGTTTGCTCATGTTTGCTCGGCACGTGCCTTTTCTAGAGCTTTTGGGCGGGGCTTTAAGAGAGTTGGACTGAGGCCTCCCTAAAAACGTTGATTGAACATGTCAATGTGGAGAGCCTTTGTTGTTTGTTGGTCCCCACAAAAAAGAACGAGGACCGCGAATGCAAGTTGATTGGTGTGGAGACACAGCTGGCAGGACGTGGAGGTTTTGCGGATCAAGAACCCTTGTCCCAAAGCAATGTCACAGGGGAACAGCAACAGCCACGAGTTGCAACATACTACAGCATCGGGGTATGCCCGACCCGCTTTGAGGAATGTCATGGGCACGGCATTGTGTGAGGCGAGGTCGACCTGACACGTCACGAGTTCGACCTTCGACGTTGCAGTGAATCCCCACACGAACGCCTCATAAAGCTAGTAGTAACAGGTGCATCGCTAGTAGTAACCAGTGCCTTACTAGTAGTAACAAGAAGCGAACGTAGAAACAATAAGCTTTCGTAGCGAACATTGCTCCGTTCGTAAGGCCAGGACTCCCCCGTTCGTTTTCGCGTCCGATCGCTCCTAATTAGTAGCGATGCCAGGAGCCCCGTTCGTAGCGAACCTTGTTTCTGGTGTTGTATTTTGTTGCTCTGCAAGCACACCTTTCTTGCGTTGCCAGAGGTTAAACGAAGTGAATGCCGCATTGTTCAGTTCAGCCTTGGAGGCCTTGGCCTTCATCAACCACTCTTGCCTACCCAACTGCCGAGTAGAATTTGCTTCAGGGTGGGACTTCCGCTGATCGCTTTGCACCTCGATCATGTCACCATAAACAACATTGAGAGCTACATGGGCTGTTTGGCAGGGAAAGGAGACAGACGAACACCAGTTGTTGGGGTCATCCATTCAGAGACTAGACAAACCATGGAGAGAGAGAGAGAGAGAGCTGGTGCTTTCGTCCTGCCAAAGCCCTCACTTTGCCTCTCAACACGGTCCTCAAGATCGCCCTCCCAGAATGGTTACAATGATGGATATCAAACTCGATATCAAACGCTTTAAACGCTTTCATTAATCAACCGTCTATATATATATATATGTCACGTGTTACCACATGAACTCGAGCTTTACACGGAAAAACTGCAACCTACTGAATCGGACATCTCGTGGACAAGCATCTTGGTCAGGAGCCAATTTGAGGCCAATGGGCCTGGGCTGTGGCTCTACTGTGCCGGGCAACCCATACATACCTTGGCAAGGTTGATGTGGAGTTAGAACCAAGCACGCAAACCTGTGGCGGAGCATGACCCGCTGAAGCAGCCCAGAAGAGGACTTTTGCCGACAGCGTGTCGGGTTGTTGACCCACAGCCATGTCACCAGCTGGCCTCCAAATTCCAAGAAGCCACCGACGGTGTGAGGCCTTTTTGCAAAAAATCGTCCACGCCGACGGTGTGAGTTTTGGCTCAAACGCATATTGCAATATTGCACCAGGTGTTCATTGTTGTTTCATTTTGTTCCAAGGTGCCATCGCAAAAGTTGTACCCCTGGGATCCCCTGAGTCCCTTTGGCCAAATTCCACTGTCAAAGCTTCTGTCATTTCACAGGTCTCCCGGCGTCCTTTGGTTCCCGGCGACGAAGTTCTGATGGCCTATGTGCCTGGCCTTTGTGTCAGAGTCAGCTTGACGGTTTGGGATGGGATGGCGTTGCTCCCTATCTGCGCGGAAGAGTAGGTATACTTATACTTGCTAATTTAAGAGAGCCAGAACTGCAGAGTGGTTGGAGGTGGCTTAGAGATTAGGACAAGACATTCGTGTTACACCTTGTTCAAACAAACATGATGGACATGTTAAGGTTGTGCCGTGGGAAGCTTTCATCACTTCCCTGTCCCATGTCAAGGTGCCATCAGTGGTGGGCAAACCCTTGGAGGCCTGACCTGCGGGTCAGAGATGACAGATCAAAGTCAGATCAGTTCAACTGTTCTGTTGAACGAACAAGCGCTGCAAACTCTACTAGTAACCAGGGCATCGCTACCAACGTAACAAGTGCATTACTACTAGTAGCAGTTGAACAGTTGAGTTGAACACCAATTCTTGTTGGACCATGGTTCCAAGCAGCCTTCGTTGCCAATGATATCAATGATATCATAATATGATATCCAATGATTCTTAATTATAGTTCTGTGGCCCTCGAAGTTTGCTCGAACAGGTGCGCCAACAGAAGATGAAGAAATTTGGTTTCGAATGCAATTGTTTTGGCCTCAGTTGAGACTTCCACCATGTTTCACCTTTGATTTCGCCAGATACTACTAGTAGCTAAACAAGGGCATGACTACTATCCTATACTATCCTTCTATTCTTTTGCCTTTTTCAAGAGCTCAGCGAGTTCGCCACCGGATGGTCGACGCCGACTCGTTTCAGGTCGAAGCTGTGAGACTGACAAGGCGGATCCGACCGAAAAGCAAAGAATCGTAGTCGATTTAGTGCTTCAAACATGTTCAAACAGCAGAAAGTCGATTCACCCCGTTTTTGTAAGCAGAGATGACAGCAGACATGACAGCAGGGTGAAAAGTTATGCTTATCCGTTTGGATTTGTATGGATTTGTGATATCCTTTTGACTCGATTGAAACAAAGGTGTAGCTGATTGATACAGTGGTAGTCTCAAGCATTTCACATGCCGCTGCTGACCTTGTCAGGTTCTGGAAATGGAAGTCGAGCCACCTACATGATCGCGTGCAAGTGACAAAACAAGGTTCAAGTCAGGGCGACGAGCAGATTCTTTCAGGATGCGCATGGGAGAGGTTGATTGCACGGAGGTCAGGTCTTCAAATGAACACCAAAAGTTAGTAGTTGATTGCGATGATGACAAATGTAACGTGCATCGTGGTTGCGATTTCACGCATCTCACTGGATCGGTTGTGCTGGTGAGAGAGACTGAGCGAGCGCGAGCATGGTCGTGCGAGACATGCCTTCTGGCATTGCTCCTTCCGAACCTGCTCATTTACAGCCCAAAAAAGGGGGAATGGCCAACCGTCCGAAGACCGGACGTGCACATGGCCGCACCGTGGCTGAATATGTACGCGCAGTGACGAGCGACGGGAGCCGTGTTTCAAGTCAGGGGCCAGTTATATATGTTATATATATGTTAATTAGTGACAGCAATCCTCATTTTTGGTTCTTTTGATATGTTTGTTTTTGTCTATTATTGTCTATATCAATCCACGTATATAGCTTGATGATGCTTGATGAGGTTTTTATGTGAAAGAAGATCTTTGTTAGAGAGATCCGTTCTGGCAGTTTGTGCAAGACCCGCTGAGGTTGAGTTTATGAGCAGAGTTGCGAAGTCACCGCAGAGATCTCAGACGTGGTTGGGGATGGCTGGTGTGTTTGTTCTTGGGGGAGAAGGTTACAAGAGCTGCTTGAGCATACTGTCGGCTGAAGCGTTGGTGAACAAACCATGCGGATGTGCCGCTCCGGGGTTATATGCCTGACTGACATGGGACCACCGCATTTGCCTGACTTACATTCCATCTTCGTTGTTGCTGGATTTGGTCTAGCACTTTCTTTAACCGTGGTGAAGGGATGTGATGGTATTGGGAGATACTAGTAGTTGGATAAACCGATAAACCTCACCGCATCTCACCGCCTAGAGCCTGGGGTGATGCTGGGACTGTGTTGGTTCTTTGACCCCAAAGCCTTAGAACCAGCCACCGAGTACCAAGCAGGTTGCCAACCTCACCGTTCACCCCAACTTGCTCGAACGAGGTGCTCTCTCACGGCATGTCCGGCAAGGCCTCACACACGTGACCGTTCGTCGGATGTGCTGTGGTTTTTGTTTAGCAGTTGTTAGCCGATACAGCTGATACACTACAGATCAGTGCTCCTCATGAGAGCGTTAGATGCAGGCGATTTACGCCAGCTGCCTTTGGCCGTGCCAGAATAAGAAGTCAATAGACCTTTCAGTCCTCCTTGCAGTCCGGAATGGACTAAACAGACATGATGAACAGACCCTTGCAAATGTGAAGCGCCTTCCCTGTCCGCTGATCCATCGCCGCGAGACGTTTGGTCCCAGCAGCCGCGACTCCAGCTGCTTCAGCTGCAGCTGAGCCAGTTTGTCATTCGATAACTGTACTGGATCTTTGTTTGGCGTCCAACAATTCCAACGGCCCATGTCTAACTCCTGAAACAGCTGTTGACTTTGGTCATCGTGATCAAACAGTTACAGAAAGAGGCTTTCGCAGGGAATCTTCGACTTGAGACTCGACTTTGGGTTTTTCAGGTGACTTCCGATCCCTGGAACAAGGACGCTACTAGCAACAAAGGGCATCGCTACTAGGAGCAAGGGCGCTACTAGTAGCTCCTGGCCTTACTACTAGGAATCAGAAGCTACTAGTAACTTCCGATCCCTGGTTGTCTTTCTCCTTTTGTTTTACTGGAGTCACCACTCAACGAAGACACTCCTTGCACTCTGGAGGGGACGCCTTCTGGACGTACCTGCTTGGTTGTCGTTCGTAGATACATCCCAACTAAAGTTCAGGCCAGTTAGGTGAGACTTCGAGGTTGGCAGACGCAGCTCTCTCGTTTTTCGGTGAAACTTGGAACTTTGACACATTGGAACCTTTGATGCCTTCGAGACTACATTCCATGGTTGGACACATTCGCACTCGTTTTACCCAGGAACTAGATCACCTAATATCACCATTATCACCTACACATTTGGGCATATGGCATTCAGACTGAACGCAGAATATCGTGAATGTGTGCGTGTATGTCTCCTTTCTTGAGTTGTTCGAGCTCAAACTTAGCAATATCAATTTCCTGTTTGTTCAAGACCCAGCGGTGTCGAGCTTGTCCGGACTATGTTGTGAAGGGAAACGGTGGCAAGCAACATTCCTGCGTGCGGTTCATGGTGCCGAGATTGCGTCTTACTGGTCGTGATGTTTCCACATTTCGAAGGCGTAAGGAGTCTGACTGGGACCAGTGGCCGCCAAGCATTCCGGACAGCCCAGGTCGTTCCCCTTCGCCAACCTCTACGAAGTCGGCCTCTCCCAAGGCAGTGGGACAAGTTCTCGACCGGAGTCCAACAGGCCCCGGACGTGTCAGCTCCGATCCATCGATAGGAAAGCTTGGGAATAAATCTGTCTCGGCTTTTACCGATACCGAGACCGTCCGACTTCAAGTCGTTGAAAGAAAAGAACAGAATTGGAGAGCCGACCGGGCAAGCACTTCTGATCCTCTTGTGGAAGCCAGATTAATGTAGTTTCTAGTGCTGTGTGAGCTTTCACGATGTTCATTATGCATTACCAATGCAGTGCACCTTGTGCACATAGCCAATTTGTTAGAAAAACAAATCAAGGTTTCTATAGTGTTCTTAAGAATGGGCGCGGCAGCTTCCAACTACATAGAGGTACATACAGTAAAATTCCGCTGACGATATTCATGGCACTCACAGTTCTGCCCTCTCAGGCAACTCCAAACCTGACCTCCGAAGGAGTCAGCCTGATACCCAGAGTGGAGTACAGAGCGGCTTTCACTCAGTTTGATTCGGCCAAGAGGGATCTCCGGTGTATTCACTGGTTCGCTGATCGCACTGCTTGGCCTGGAGCTTCTTGGGACAAGATCTGGCAGAGACAATGGGACCTTTCTGGGAACATTTCGGGAAGCTCCCGTTGACTGAAGTCTTATTGAAGCCAGTTCCTGAATTCGGCGGAATCCTCAGCGCCCCAAGGTCCAGGAAGTCCAAAGGCCAAGGCATCGCCGGAGAAGTCCAAGGCGCAAGTTCCACGGGTCAGGGCGTTCCACGAGTGCAAGGTGGTGTGTTAGGGCAGTGTGGGGTGAAAACCTGGGTGTCCTCCAAGTGCATTGGGTGAGTGTATCTGCATGTCTCCAATGGTCAACATGCCTAATTTTTGCTTCTTGACTTGAAATGTTCACTTGGATATTTAGAGCATCATGAATCATGTGCGACGATTTTGCTGCTTAGTCTACCAAGGGCATCCAAGGGCTGCTCAATGATATCGAGCATCATTCATGATATTTGCAGTGCTCAAAGAAGCCGGGCTCATGGAAACCTCGCGCATTTTTTCTTCAAACCATGCTCCTGCGAAGGGCCCTTGTTGTTAGTCATCATTTTGGTTGCAGAGTCCTGGCTTGTCGTCATCTTCATCTTGCCGTAGGAAAAGACCAAGGACAAGACAGAGAAGAACAATGGAGGAAAAAGTCAGGGTGCCTGAGATTGCCTCCGCTTGCACGTAGCCCTACAGACTGTGCCGAGTCGACTTGCGCATCTCCTCATAAATGGATGCTTTCTCATCCCATTGATGCAGCCTTCATCAGGAAGGACAGGATGCTGACGATACCGATTGTGTTATCAACCTGTCGTGTTCTTCGACAATGTGCCAATCGAACAAAGCTTGGATGCCTGCCAAGGTCAAGGCAATCCTGGCAAAGACAAGAAACCTGGGAAGCCAACTGGAGAAGAGTTTTATTCTGCCAAGTGCTGAGACGCTAGATCGGCGACAGTATTTGACACTGCTTGAGCCGCACCACAACAGATCACACAAGGATGACATGGTGGAAAGGCAGATCGATTGAGATTCGAATTGAGATGTTGCCTTTTTTTGCCACATGATTTGCATTCGGGACTTTGCACATGATTTGGGCTGAGTCTATCCCTGCGGGTACTCCATTCGCCAAACTGGGCAGCCTCAAGGATGTGGCCCGGGCCTCCGGACTCAGAGTTGTGACACCCAGGATGGACACCGATCCATTCACTTAGCAAAAGGCTAAACCTAAAGGAAGTTGGAGCCCATCGCTCTTAGGGTGGAGGCCATCGCTACAGGGTGGATGCCATCACTCTTAATAGGTTGGAGGGCCATTGCTATTAGGTTCCTTTTGCTATTGCACAAATTGTGCATATTGTCCATGCACGGGTGTTCAGGCCTCCCTCTGGTTACGGTTGAAAATCAAACGGGGTGGCATTGGTCGCAGAGCGCTGCCCGTCCTCAGGCAGCGGACCCTGAGGCCTTTCCGGAGCTTCTTGTACAGAAGTTGGAACTGTTGGAGTCTCAGAAGCAGCGGCTTTTCAACCGAGCTAGCCGGTACGGCCCGTACGGCAGCACATCTCGTGCAAGCACGTTGCTTTGAAGGATGTTCATTGACTGTGTTTTGTATTGTTTTGTTATTTGAGACTTGCGAATCTGAACGGGTAACAGATCACAACAAAGCGAGCGCCACACAACACCAACACTCGCCAAGCAAAACGGCCAAACACGGGTCAAACACACAAAAGCATAACCGCTCAAATCAAACTCACTCCACCAATTAGATCGCAAAGGCTTCAAATCCATAAGAGGCTACTGATATGGTTGAGTTCAAGTCACTACACCAAGCAAAGTTGCGTGCCGTTTGGCATGTGTTTCGTCCGGCTCGTTCTCCTTCGCATGAAGCTTCTCTGGCAAAGTGCTTGGGGTTGCTGTGGAACACGTCCAACTTCCACACTTGATCTACGACCAGTGGGATGTTACAACATGCTACAACCATCCAGAAAATGGGATCCTGCACAATGGACACTAACATCTTACAAGCTCATCATAGCTCATCTAACCATCCTCCTACCGAGTTCTACCAGGTGAGCTCGCCGAGTTCGCTCCCTTAGAATCCACCAGATGATCGGACGCCAGCCAAGCAGGCACCGAACTCTGCGAACATCTGTTAAATCTGGAGAGAACAAACATCGAAGAAGCCAGCGTT